TACTGTCTGTATTTAATAAAATCACTTTCTATTTAGTAATTTACTCAGAGTATGTATTAATACCTGGGGGAGCAAACAACTGTGCATATCTCTCTATCAGTGTTATAGAGGGCGAACAATTTATGAGTTTGCCTTGCATAAGCTTTATGCAGGGTAAAACGGATTTATCTGGGTTTAGACCCCATTGGGAGTTGGGCATCTGAGTGCTAAAGACAAGCGCACTTCTGTAAGCTGTTTTCAGGTAAACTTGCAGCTTTGGGACAGGAGATTCAGACCCTGCATCTGTGTCTGGAGCCAGACGGGAGTGTCTGGCTCAGCAAGACAGGGTGCTGGAGTCCTGAGCTGGCAGGGAAAACAGAAGCAGGGGTAGTCTTTGCACATCGGGTGGCAGCTCCCAAGGGGGTTTCTGTGTTCCAACCAGTCACATCTATGACCTCTCTTGACCAGGGTCTGTGAACAGGTGATCTGGTAAGGTGAAAATTCTCCCTGCAGCCCAGATTCCTCATCACTCATCACAAGAAAGCTGTGCAGACCTTGCCTGAGGATCCAGAGAGAAGTAGTAGGTGTTAAGTAGGGGTGATTGCAAGACAGTAACACCAGGAGGTCCCTTTAGTGTGTGAATTGCCCTGCCCCAGTGCCTCTGTGAGGGGAGGGCTGAGCAAGAGGAATTTGTTGTGAGGAGGGATTCCTCTGCACCAGAATCCCGAGCATTCCTGCTGGCTAGTTCAAAGGCTGACAGTGCTGAGAGAGTGAGAGGAGCCTGTAGGGGGTCAGGCAGGCTAGCATGCCTCAGCACCACTTCCATTGTGGTGCCAAACTGTGCTGTGTGAGAGGCAAGCAACTGAAAGCCTGAAGCCTTGGCACCGGAGGAGTGCGTGACCGCCGCAGCCCTGTTTTGCACAGCGCCGGAGGAGACCGGTGCATCAAACGTACTCAGCCAAGGGAGCGCAGGGAGGGAAGCAGTCCCTGGAGAACGCTTGTCCCTGCGAATACCCTTTGCGGGTAAGTGATTTTTTTTGAAGTTTTCTTTTGTCTCTTTAAAGGCCGGGGGGGGGGGGGTCAAGAGGGGGCCTGAGGTATACAGCAGAGTCAGAGCCCAGGTCTGAGGCTGGTCCAAGAGATTTTTGCAGCAGGAACAGTTTTAGCCACAGCTCCCTACCTTTGCGTGCCCCGGATTTCAACTTCCTGTAGTGGGCACATTTTGGGGGAATGTCGGACTCCCCCAAACATTTAATACATTTAGAATGGCCATCTGAAAGAGGGATGGCATCATTACAGTTAGAGTAGCGCTTAAAACATGGAGAGCCAGGCATGTCAGAAGCAGCTGCGCTGACAGGAACAAAAAAGGGTTTTTTTGGTTTGTTTTTTATTTATTTATTTATTTATTTATTTATTAAGAGGAGAGAGAGAAGGGAAAAAGGGTACCTAAATATTACTAGTAAGCTAAACTAAGGGAAACAAGTTGAACAAGGGAGAGAAGAAATTCTCTAACGAGCCTGCTGAGCTCCGTCTCAGGCCAGGGACGGTAGAGAAGGAACTGAGGAGACTGGTTGTGCACGTGTACTATTAAGGTACACTCAGAGCTGGGGGGAGGGGGGGGGGTCAGGCTCTGTGCATGCGCAACCGGTATGAGTACAGCTGTAAAAATCTCTGAGCAAAGGTGCAGGGACGCACCAACACCTGGAGTGGAGCACTATGCCGTAGTATTCTCAGTATCCAGCATACTGATCTATATACATCATGTTGAGTATTTAGGGTGCTATTTATTAAAACTTCATAGTTTTAACTAGGATTTTGTATAAAATGATTGAATTTCCCCTCATATAGTCATCCTCTGGTCATGCCTCTTCTACAAACCTATAA